AACATTTGACAAAAACTCTTAAAAACAATTTTTTATGCACGAAGTATTGTTTATTGATGCATATTACTTAAAATTTAAGATTACAAGTAAATTATGCACGTAATTTTGTTTATTGAAATACACTTTAAATTTTATAATTGTGTCATTCATACACACTTTAAATATATTTTTTTAAATCTCTTTTACAAAAAAAATATTTTGCATATGTTTATAATTATGATTTTTGAAATTTAGGGGCCGTTTACCCAAATACTTACCCGGTAAACGATTATAGGTAGGAGTCAATACTATAATCTATTTTACCAGATAAGATTGTAGTATATTAAAATGGTATGATATGCAACAATTAACCGGATAAGATTCTTCACCATCACTTACCGGGTAAGACTCTGTATTCTTATCATCGCTCTTACAGGATAAGATTTTCGGCCCTTGTCATGTGCATCAAGTGAGGAAAGTTACCCGATCAACACTTACAGGGTAAGTGTTTAGTAAACGACTCCTTGGTATTGAAACACTTTACAAAACTTGAAACACTTCTAAAAGAACTTGGAAAACTTAAAATAAACACGAAATTTTTGGTAAAAAAAACTTGAAAATCTTGTACAAATATTGAAAAACTTGATATATAATTTATAGAACTTCTTTAAAAAAAACGTCAGGTCTATGTATGGTTGGGCCATGCCTGGCCTTGAATTCTCGTAAAAGTCATAACTAATTACGAACCATCGGACCTGTCCTGATCCCACGTCGAGCCAGTTTTGTGCATACCTTCATATTCCTACGAAAGTCATTTTTATTGCCAACCATGGATTTAAAGCTCTGATTAAAAAACATTTTGATATCATTGTACTTGAAAGAAAAATCATTTCCGATACAAAAATTGTAGAAAAATGATGGCAGTCACGACAACTCTAAGATGAGACATCATCTAGAAAAGGCATGTAAAAAACAAATGTCGGGTTCTAGAAGTGACCAAATGCAATTTGAAAAGAACACGCCTAAAATGGCATTTTGATAAACGATTATGCCGCTAAATGGCTTTCGATTAACACAGTTTGTGAAAATTGAAGAGAATATCGTTGAAGAGGAACGAAGTAAGTATGTTCAAGTAATGAAACTTTACATATTATCTTGAAGGATGAAGCAGATCGATTGGCGTTGAGGAATCAAGCAGATCGATTGGTGCTGAGAAAACAGATCGATCGATTGAGAGGAGTTTAGGTTTGTCGATGGAGTGGAGCCAAGGGAAAGGGTGAAGTCGGGAGCGAGAGATGAAGCAGAGGTCGATTGAGAGACCAATTCCGTTGAGCAAGGCAATTGACTGTATAGGTTTTAGGATAAGTGGTAAAGAAGGGTTTAACTTATTTTTTAGTGGGTGTTTGGTTTGATGGAATTGTTTTAAGGGAATTGAATTTCGTGGAAGGATTTGAAATCTTTGGTGTATTTGGCTGTAGAATTTGGAATTGTAGTTTACTCCAGAACTTACTAGAAAACGAATCAAGGGCTGTTTGATTGGTTTTTCATTAAGTCTTGTATAAATAAAATTATCAATGTAGATTAATCTATCTATATAGATGAGAAAGGTTTTTGTTTAAGAAGGTTTGGAAGAAGTGTATTTTTTAATTAAGAGGGGCAAGTTTGGAAAAAGAAACTTATTTTTTGTATAAAACTCTCTCCTATAAGCTTAATGAACAAGTCGTTATCAAACAGTCATGCGTACCGAGTCTCATAAAGCTCGTTAAGCTGTTAATTCTTGAAATTCTTTTCTATTTCATGCTCACGTGCAACGCACGTGCATCATAGGTACTGAAAATCTCCAAGCCATGCCATTGCTGACTACAAAACTAATGGCTGGATCCCTATACATATCCAAGATAGAAAACTTTCCAAAACAACCCCAAAACTTTAAATATTCACAGTTACACCACAAATTACTTTAACGATTCGCTACCGAGGTCCCGAGAGCTCCATTGCTTCGATTATGAACGAATTCCCTTCACGAGCATCACTGTAATTCCTCGAGAAACTGAACGTTCTTCCATCACATTGTTGGTTGGGTCCCGTTTGTGGGTCCTCCAAATTGCACGGTTGTCCCGTGATGCCTTCTAGAACCTTCAAGACTTCCGACATTTTCGGTCTCAAGGTCGGGAGCGCTCGAGTGCAAAGAAGAGCGAGTTCCACGGCCTTTTCTAGCTCTTCTTGGTCATAACAACCTTTTAGATCCCGATCTATCAATACTTGCAACCGTTTTTCTTCGTATAAGGTTTTAACCTGTATATATACAAAATGATCCGCTTCAAAGCATCGACCGTGACCAACTACATAGTTTAACGAAAATGTTTGACTTCCCGTAAAATATTCAAGATACCCTTGAATGAAAGATCCACGGAGAACCCTAAAAAATTAAATAACCGAGGAACTCATCCATACCGTTGGATCGAGATGATCCAACGGATGTATGAGAGTATGTGTGCTTAGAGAGAGAGAGAGAGAATTAGTTACCAAATCAAGGATCATTCCCTTTTGAATTTGACCATTGCCAGCATCTAATGCCTTTTGTCCTGTTATGAGTTCCAAAAGAAGGATGCCGAATCCGAAAACATCGGTTTTCTCCGAAGATTGTCCGGTCGAGAGATATTCCGGCGCAATGTGGCCCACGGTACCTCTAACGGCGGTCGTGACATGCGAATCCCGGGGGTCTAATAACTTAGCAAGACCAAAATCACCAACCACTGCTTCGAAATTCTCATCCAACAAAATATTTGCAGCTTTAACGTCTCGATGGATTATCTTCGGGTTACATTGCTCATGCAAATACAAAAGTCCCCTTGCGGCTCCAAGAGCGATATGCATTCGTCTACTCCAATCCAAAAGCAACGTTTCCCGACCACCATCTGTCGATGGAAGTCCATAAAAAGTTTCAAGAAAATTTATAAAACCAAACCAAACAAACTCGGTATATCCCATCTAGAGGTAGGATCTACGCAGACCTTACCACTGTCTCAAGAGACAGATAGGTTGTTTCCAAGAATATCCCTGTCTTAACGATAGGATGTTTTTATGCATCTATCGAAGCTATTTACCTCTGTTACAAAAAAGTAACGAGATCAAACTATATACGAAGCACTATAATTGCTCTTTAACTAAATACGATAATCACGTTAGCTTTGAATTTAGAAGTTATTAAGTTCGACATCCAAAAATAGAAAGTCAACAGTTGTTAAGAAACACATGGATTAGCTTAATTACCTCTTAATCGATCCGCAACGCTTCCATTAGGCATATAAGGGTAAACAAGTAATCTCTCGTCATTAGTCAAACAAAACCCGTAAAGACGTAAAAGATTCCGGTGCAATGCCAAGCTTATCATCTCGAGTTCCGTTTGGAATTGCACCTCCCCGGAGAAATTAGGATCTTTTAGTCGCTTAACCGCCACCAAAGTCCTATTTAGAAGACACCCTTTGTAAACGACTCCAAATCCACCTTGTCCTAAAATATTCTTGGAACTAAAATTCCCGGTTGCAACTTGCAATTCACGAAACGTAAACCGCTTTAAATGACCGACATTAAACTCGTAATCTTGTTGAACTGCAAACGTTTAAATCATTAAGTTGTTAATGAACACTGCATACACGAATGGTTGATTAAACAAAAATGATTTGTTCATAGAAAATATACCGTAGGATGTATAAATAAGGCGTGACCGATACCAACGGATCCAGAAAACAAGAAGCATAATAGAAACCACGAACGTGCAACTAACCCCGACCATAACTGACACGATCCAACGGTGCCGGTTGTCAACCTGCTTGGTTGAATTAGCTTCTACGCAAGTGAAACGCAAAATTATTTGTATATGTTAGAGACAAATACTCAAGGGAACAACCATATCAATATGTCCTTTTAGGTCATTTTATATTAAAAAGCTGGTTGTTAGCTAAAAAGTTGTCTGTTAGCTGATAAACTAGTCATGTTTGATGAAAACTAGTTGACAAGACTATATCACAATGTAAAATTACCTAAAAGGACATTTTGAAAAACTAATAAAAGTATGAGGGGCATATTTGGGACAAATCTCAATGGAGCTTATTGAAACACTACTTGAAGCTACTGCTAGCTTATCGCTAACCAAATAGGACTTTTTCAATAAGCTCAAAAAATAAGCTAACTTATAGCTGCCAAACACAGTCCAAATGTGCAAATCGTACACACTTTGAGTGATTGCTTAACGGAAAACGTTACCATTTGCTACTTTGGGGGCATTGACACAATTTAACGACGATGGCGAAGTGCAAAGATAGTTGTTCCCGGTGATCCTGCATTACCGATTGTTCTTATTAAATGTTCGTATCAACAACGTTATACATATAAAATCTTGAACTCAATGGCGTAATGAATTTGGTAATGACTGTAATTTTCTCTATCTTTATCATGATAAGACTATTAGGTTTGCGTAAAACTTACGATAACAAGAACATTTTGCTAGAAGGAAAAATCTTACCTATAATCTTTAGCTCGTATTTTTGGAGAGGCGCCACTGAGATTATTGAACGACACGTCCCTACAATATTGAACCGTCAAACTAAACGGAACTAAGGTATGCCGAATCAGGTACAGACAAGCATAAACAGACAAATAACGGAAGAAATAACGACATACAAGAATGAAAGACCTGTGAGGTTGGCTACAGGTCCGGGAATATCACCCGACAACTTGTTTTTGTTGAGCCTCCTGAAAAATGTGTCAAAGAGAACGTTATGGCGGTGGGGAAAGAGAGAGAAAACAACGTAGAGAAACTAAGATATGAACTTACAGATAACTTAGATGAGTCAAGGAACCCAAAGAGCTCGGGATTTCACCTACAAACTGATTACTCGACAAATCAAGAGTTTCAAGTCCTGTAAGTTTTCCGATTTCAGCTGGGATTGGGCCCGATAATGCATTGTTCTGTAGTAACCTATAAGAATTTCATCGAAACAGGCAAAATGGTAATTGTTGTAGGTTTCATGGGATGAAGGGCACTAATTATAGAATATAATCATCATGTTAATAACTCTTAAATGAAAAAATATAGAGTTGGGTTCAGGGGGAAAACCACGTAAAATGTGAAACTGAGGAACACTCTACTAACCATTCATACATCCAGTATGCACATGTGCAGAAAAGTAATTTGTCTGACATGCACATGTGCATAAAATGCATATGTGCATAGAAACCAAGATACATTTTCAATTACTTTAATGCACATGTGCATGTCCGACAATTGAATGATTATTATGGTGTTCCTATTTTTCCATTTTTTTGGCTTTCCCCTGAACCTGAGTCTATACATACATACATATATATATATATA